TCCCCAGGTGTCCCCAGCCAGTGCCACCTTTGTGGAGGGCCCGGAGGGAGATGGTGACGAGCAGCTCAGGGATGTCACCGGTGCCTGTCCCATGCTGGCCTTTGCCCAGCGGCATTTCCGTGCAGCACGGCGTGGGACCATGTGAGTGACCAGAGCTGGGACAGGGCTGTGCCATGGTGGGGACACCTGTGCTCACCTGCTCCCCTGTCCCTCTGCCAGGGACTCCCGTGGGATGAAGTTGCCAAGTGTGCTGGAGATGCTGACGTTCACCAAGGTATGGGGAGGTGGAGTTCTGGGGTGGCCTTGTTCTGCTGTCACCTGGCCTTGTCCTGCTGTCACCCTTTGAGGTCCCAGCAGGGTCCCAGAGCTGGCCCTCTCCCCCTGCTCCAGATTCCCATTCAGGAGTCACTCATTGAATTTGTGGATGGTGGCCTCAACAAACTGGCTGCTGAGGCTTTCCAAGGTAGGCAGGGGCACGAGTGTCCTGTCCCCCTGTCCCTCAGCCATCCCCAGCCCTGTCCTTGGAGGAGGGTGGGCACAGGGGGTGTCCTAGGGGAGTTTAGTTCTGGTCCCAGTGCTCCATGTGCCCAGGATGTGTGTCCCTGGGGAAGGGACATGCTGTGTCACCGTGTGGCTTTGTTGTCCCCAGCTGTGATGAAGTTCATGGGCGACCATCCCCTGCGGGGGCAGACAGAGCTGGACATCGTCTGCACCATGCTCAAGGTAAATCTCCCACTGGGGATGAGTCCTGGGGGTGGCCTAGGCAGGGCTGGCAGAGAGGTGGCAGCTGTGCCTGTCCCCAGCTGTGTGCAGCGCACGAGGTCCTGCGGGATGAGGTGTACTGCCAGATCATCAAGCAGATCACCAACAACACCAGCTCCAAGCCGTGAGTCCCTCCATCCTCGTGGGACAGCAGAGGCTGGCACTGGGACACCTGTACCCTGGCCAGGCCAGCTGCTCCGGCCTGGGGGACACCTGGGGACCTCATCCCTGTGCCACCGTGGGCACCCTCCCCCTGCTTGGGGGGTCAGCCCTGCCTGTGCCCACAGGGACAGCTGCCAGAGGGGCTGGAGGCTGCTCTACATCCTCGCTGCCTACCACAAGTGCTCCGAGGTGCTCCGGCCCTTCCTCCTGGCCTTCCTGCACGATGCCAGCAGGCACCCGGAGCTGCCTTTCCATGGTAGGGGCCGTGCACACCCCAGGGTGGGGGAAAGGACAGCCCAGGTGTCACAGAGCTCAGGAGGAGCTCTAACAGAGCAGCTCAGCCCCATCCTTCATCCCGGTCCCTGCTCCTGCCAGGCATCGCCAAAGCCTGCGAGCAGAACCTGAGGAAAACCCTGCAGTTCGGTGGCCGCAGCCTCTTCCCCAGCAGCATGGAGCTCAAGGCCATGGTGGTGAGGCCAGGGGCTCGCGGGGTGGAACAGGGCTGGTGTCAGCTTGAGATCCCCCCCAGAAATTCTGGGTACTCACATGGAGTCAGGTTCTCCCTGTGGGCTTGGGATCTCCCTCAGACACCACCCTGGAATGGAGCTGATCCTTTTTGGGGATCTTCCCAAGAGAGCACAGCCCTTTTTAGGGTCTGCTCTTCACCACTTTGGGGGTACCCTGAGCCTTCAGGGGTCCCCAGTGGGGATGGAGCTCTGTGGACGTGGAGCTGGGGGCATGATGGTTCAGGTGGACAGGATGGGCAAGAGACAGGATGATCTCAATGGGATGGTTCCTTAGGGACAGCTGCAGGATTTGGGGTGTCCTGGGGGTTCTTGCTGCACCCCAACGTGTCCTCCCATGCAGGCTGGACGCAGCGCCAAGCGCCAGCTCTTCCTCCTGCCCGGTGGCATTGAGAGGCACCTCAAGATCAAGACGTGCTCGGTGAGCCAGAGGGGACAGGAGGCTCAGTGCACCCCAAAATTATGGTTATGGTGAATATTATGGTGACACCTCAGCTGTGGGCACCCAGAGGGGGTGGATGTGGGGGGGCTGCACCCTTGGCTGTCCCTGCTGTGGGACTTCATCCCCTGGGAAAAGCAGCTCATCACTGGGATGAGCCTCAGTGCAGGACAAGTTGGTGGCCCAGAGCACAGCAGGGGGATGTGGCAGTGTCCCAGCCACCTGTCCCTGTGCCCAGGTGGCTCTGGATGTGATCGAGGAGCTGTGCTGTGAGATGGGGCTGCAGAACCCAGAGGCTCTGGAGGAATACATCCTCTTTGTGGTGACCGACAGAGGTGAGGAGCCGGCAGGGGTGGGACAGACGGGGATGGGACGGCCATGTGGGTGGTGTGGTGGCACTCTCAGACTCCTGGGTGGCACAGGGCAGAGTGTGCGGCCCCTGACCCGCCGGGAGTACGTCCTGGACGTGGCTGCAGAGACGGAGCTCCGGGACAGCAGCTACAGCTTCTGGTGCCGCCGCGTGGTCTGGGGCCAGCCCCTCAAGTTCGACAACGAGCTCTACGTCACCGTCCACTACAACCAGGTCTGGCCACCCCATCAGCCTCCCCCAGGGCCACCTCCCTGCCGCCCTCAGAGCGTGCCCTGTCCCCAAGCCGTGTCCCTGTGCTCTGTCCCCCTCCCAGGTGCTGCCTGACTACCTCAAGGGGCTGTTCACCGTCCTGCCGCCGGCGAGGCCGGGAGAGCAGCACTTCCCACACGTGGCCAAGCTGGCCGCCCTCCAGCACCGAGCCAAGGACCGCCACCTCCTCCCCACGGCGTACGGCAGGGCACGGGGCACCTGGCGGGGGAAACACGTGTCCTGTGGGACTGGGGACCCACTGGGCAGCGCTGGCCCTGACCTCGGGCTCCCCACACAGGAGGGAGATGCAGGACTACGTCCCCCCGCAGCTCTTCCGCCTGCTGAAGCCGCAGTCCTGGCTGCAGATGGTGACCCAGCACGTGCAGCAAGCCCAGGCACTCAGCGCCCACCAGGCCAGGGCACAGTTCCTGGGTGAGGGGACAGCGATGGGGACAGGGAGAGGATGCAATGCTAATGAGGACATAGTGCTAATGAGAATGTAATGCTGCCTGGAGGGTGATGATGATGGCGAGGAGATGCTGGTTGTCTGCACAGAGCCTGGGCAGGATGGATTGGCAGGACAGGACAGGGACACCCATTTTTTTCCCTTGTCTGCTCCTGGGTGCAAGGCCACCCTGGGGACTGGGCAGATGGGGGTGGCAGTGGGCACTGAGACCCCGTCCTCTGCCCTGCAGGGCTGCTGAGCGCCTACCCCATGTTTGGCTCGTCCTTCTTCTACATCCAGAGCTGCAGCAACAACGCCATCGTTTCGCCCTGTATCCTGGCCGTCAACCAGAACGGCCTCAACTTCCTCAGCAAGGAGACCCACGTAGGTGTGGGGCCGTGGGGGACCCATGGAATGGCTCGGGTTGGAACAAACCTTAAAGCCCATCCAGTTCCACCCCCTGGCCACGGGCAGGGACACCTTCCACTAGACCAGTTGGCTCCAAACCCTGTCCAAACTAGGATCCCTGGTCCCCTTGAAGGGTTCCAGGGCACACAGGCCACCCCCCTGTCCCCTCCCAGGAACTCATGGCCAAGTTCTCGCTGAATGAGATCCAGTCCACGCGGACACAGCGCCCCACGGCCGGATCCAGCTCTCCCTACGTGGAGATCACTCTGGGAGACCTCCTGGCCCAGGGCATCACCCAGCTGCAGCTGGAGCAGGTCGGGGACCCCTGGGGACATCGGGGGGACCCTGCTGGGGCTCTCACAGCGGTGGCACGGCCACTGCCCATCGGCGTGTCCCTCTGCAGGGCCTGGAGCTGTGCCGCGTGGTGGCCGCGCACATGGAGCGGCTGCTGGGTGCCCGGGAGAAGAGGCAGACGCTGCCGCCCAGCGAGATCACCCTGCTCTGAGCCCGCCACGGCCCGGACCCCCGGCACCCCGGCAGGGGGGACAGAGGGTGCCGTGACCATGCGGTGTCCCCAGCTTGGCCAGTGGCCTCTGTCCCCCTGTCACCACCCCGCTGTTGTTCTGGGGTTTTATACACGCCCGGCAGCCCGGCATGACTCGGTGTCCGTGGTTTTGTGTTGCGCTCGCTGCCGCAGCAGGGATGCTGCCCCCCGTGCCTGATTCCCCACCGATCCCCATGCGTTTCCTAGTCCCGTGCGTCAGCTTCCCCCACCGATCTCCGTGTCCGTTTCCCCATGCCGGTGCCTCAGTTTCCCCTCCATCCCGCCCATGCCTCAGTTTCCCCGTGCCCCCCTCTTTCAGTCACTCCCCCCCGCCTGTCGCGCTCGCCGCGTCCGCCAGAGGGCGCCGGCGCCGCGCGCCCGCCGCCACCTCCGCGCCCCGCCCACCCCGCCGCCGCCGCGCGCGCGCGCTCCAACCGCCCAATCAGCCGCCGGCCCGCGGCGCTCTCTGCCGCCTCTCGGCCAATCAGCACCGCCCGGGGCGGGGCTTGGGCGGGGCCGTCGCTGCCGGTTAACGGCGCCGGTGGGCCCGCGCGGGGGGCGGGGCCGGGTCGCGCGCTCTGTCCGTACGTGCGCGGGAGGGGCGGGGCCGGGGGCGGTGGCGGCGCGTGCGCGGCGGGGCGGGGCGGCCCCGCGGCGATCCGGGATGTCGGGCCGGCTCCTGGTGACGTAGCGGGAAGGGCCGCGCCAGACCCCCGCCCGCCGCCGTCCCCCGGCACGGCACGGGACCCCCCACGCCTCCTCCGGTTGTCCCCCGCCATGGGCAGAGCCGCGGCGGTGGGAACGGGCAGGGAGTCCGGGGCCGCCGCTGGGAATGTGCCAGGCCCTGCCGCCGCGTGAGCACCGGCACCGGCAGCGTTGTCCGCGCCCGCCCCGGGCCAAGCCGTGAGTGTGGCGTCCGCCGGGCCGCCCCTGCCCCGAGAGGGAGGAAGGGAGAGGGCGGGAGCTCCGTGCGCCGGGAGCGGGGTCCCATCTCCCGAGGAAGGGGGCCGGCGGGAGAGGGTCTGGCGCGGTACCGGGATCCCGTGCTCACCTCCGCGTCCTGCGGGGCTCTCTCTCCCGGCAGGGCGGCGGGTGCCATGAGCAGCAGCTGCGCGTCCCCCGCCGCCGCCCGCCGCCGCCGCCTGCAGCGCCGGGATCGATAGAGGCGGGGGCTGCGGACGCGCCATGGCCGGCAGCGGCTACACGGACCTGCGGGAGAAGCTCAAGTCCATGATGCCCTACCGGGACGGCCACAAAGGCGGCGGCGGCGGCGGCCTCCCGCGGGAGCCCCCCGAACCGCCGTACGAGCGCAAGCGGCGGCACCAGGAGGACTCCGGCTCCGAGCCCAGCGACTACGAGGAGCAGAAGGAGGAGGAGGAAGCTCGGAAAGTGAAGAGCGGCATCCGCCAGCTTCGCCTCTTCAGCGCCGAGGAGTGCGCCAAGATCGAGGCGCGCATCGAGGACGTGGTGTCCCGGGCGGAGAAGGGGCTCTACAAGGAGCACACGGTGGACCGGGCGCCGCTGCGGAACAAGTATTTTTTCGGGGAAGGTTACACGTACGGGTCTCAGCTGCAGCGGCGAGGCCCCGGGCAGGAGCGCCTGTACCCGCGGGGGGAGGTGGACGCCATCCCCGAGTGGGTGCACGACCTGGTGATCAGGAAGCTGGTGGAGCACCGGGTGATCCCCGAGGGCTTTGTGAACAGTGCCGTCATCAACGACTACCAGCCGGGGGGCTGCATTGTCTCCCACGTGGACCCCATCCATATCTTTGAGAGGCCCATCGTCTCCGTGTCCTTCTTCAGCGACTCGGCGCTCTGCTTCGGGTGTAAATTCCAGTTCAAGCCCATCCGGGTGTCGGAGCCCGTTCTGTTCCTGCCCGTCAAGAGGGGGAGCGTCACGGTGCTCAGGTAACTCGCCCGCGTTGCCGAGGCCCCGGTTGTGTAACGCGGATCACGAGGCGCACGGATGCGCGCCCCGACGGCGCCTCGGGCTCCATCTCCTCCTCCTGCCGGTGCTCGGGGGCTCGCTGTGCTGCAAGGGGTGAAAAAGCGATTTTGGGGGGTGGTCCTGCCGTTGTTGTGGGTGAGGATTTGGGTGGGTGCCCTCTCCATGGAGCTTGAGGCGAATGCTGGTGGGAGCAGAGCTGACCTGGCCACTGAGTTCCGATAAATGGTTAAAGTAACACGTTGAGACACAAAATGGATCCTTTGCCCAAGAGTGGTCAGAGCGGAGCAGCTGTAGGGACAGGGCTCCTGGGTCTATTCTTAGCTCGGCCGGTGCTTCTCTGACATGACCTTAACCGTGGAGAGGAGGTGTGAATGGCCTCGTCCTCCCAGTCTGTAAACTGGGAGTGCTGAGCCCTCCCCTGCGCTGTGACGATGGGGAGAGCAGAGTGCAGAGCCCCGCGTGATTGTCACTTGGAAGTGCAGCGGGTCACGGGCACAGGAAGGGACTTGGTGTGCGTTGAGGAAGAGCCCTGGAAGGTGGAATGACCTGCCCAAGGTCACGCAGTTGGCCGGCAGTGAGGCTGGGGTTGGCACCGGGGAACGCCTGCTTGCTAATGCCACTGCTGCCCACACAGGTGAGGGGACAGGCAGGTGAGGGGACAGGGCTGGAGCACCGGGATCCTTCTGTCTCCAGCTCCTGGGGAGGGCAGCTGGAAGCCTGGCATTGGTGCTGCCAGTCCCTTGTGTCCCTGAAGGTCAGAGTGCTCCCTGCCAGCAGCAGGGATCGCCAGGGCTGTGCCAGCAGTGCTACCAGCTGTATCCTCCTTTGGGAGGTGGCTTTTTTGGGCTGGTGAAGGTCCAGGCCGGTTTTCCGGGCTCCCAGGCCGTAATACAATCCCTTGCTTTGGCTTGTAAATTGATCGCTGCAGGGTTCAGGAAGGAATTTTCCCCCCCACAAACACACGGCCTCCTTGACTGGTGCATCAATAATAAATGCTGAGATCTCGCGTCGCTTTTATCTCGGAAAAGCTGCACAAACATTAACTAATCCTTGCCGTACCCCGGTGTTAGGTAACTTGTGTGGATTAGCCAAGGATGAGGGAGGCGGGAATGGCGCTGAGGACATTTTCTCATTCTCTGGTGGTTTGACAGGGCTCAGGGGGGCAGAGGTCGGGGTGATTTTGTGAAATGGGACCCAAGGGGACCCATCCTGCTCTGTATCTTTTTACTGCAGAGCGAGCTCCATCCCCAGGGATGGACTGCTGGGTGCGAGGCAGCTGCTCTGCTCCCTGACTGCTCTGAGATACCAGGAGGGAAACTTTCCACCCTAATTTCCTGCTCCTGATGCAAACCCCTCTGCTGTCTTTCCTCGTCAGGCCTGGATAAATAGTTGTCCTTGCTTTTACAGCCAGAGGCCTTCTGTTTTTTAAGGACAGAGAGAGTTTTATCCTGCTTGGAAGCATTCCGGCAGAGCTGCTAATGCAGGGTCAGCCTCAAGTCTTGCAGTCAAAGCCTCTCGAAAAACTCTGGAGGAGGATCTGCAGTGGAGGATGGTGGGAGGAAAAAGAGATGCTTGCTCTGCTCCAGGACCAGAGAATGATGTTTTCTTATTCCAGACCCTTGCTCTTCCTTCTCAAAACTGCTGGGAAGAGGCTGCTGGCTCAGGGCTCATGGAATTGGAGTGAGGTGTCTCCCAAGGGTGTTTGGGTTGTTGGCAGTGTCACTCAGGTGCTGTAATCGGTTTGTTAATGTAGCTGAAGGAATCCTACACACAACATGAAGATATCTTGATATCTTTTCCCTCCAAATCCAAGGGCTGCTTTCTGAGCCACCCACTGCAGCTTGATCAGGGTCAGATGTTCTTCCTTCCAGCAAGTAATAGACTTTAAAATAGGGATTATTTCAAATTTGGTTCAGCAGTTAGCAGGTACTTTACACTCACTTATGGGAAATTCTGCCAGAGTGACTGTTATGTGTTGACAGGATCCTGTCTGGGATCAATTCCTTGTCTCACAGTAGATCCCCTGCTCTCCCATCTCACCCCAGCAGTCAGGAGGAGCAGGAGAGGTGCAGAGCGTGCTCAGGGGTGTGGCACCAAATCCAGCCCTTGGTCGTGACTGAGTCAACTCCCCAAACTTGGCATTTTCTCCTCTGGGTAAACAGCTGCTGGAGGCAGTTACCCAGGAGATGGGGAACGGGCACAGATAGAGGTGGCATGCCTGTAATGTCTGGGATTCAGATCCTGCTGGGTCAGTGGCTGCAGCCTTTCCAGGGAAGCCTTGTGGAAGTCCTGAGGATCTAAAGTAAACTGTCATGCTCCTGGAATCCTCTCTGACCCCACAGCACTCTCACACTGGCCCCAGGTTGCCCCTGTCCTGTTCCTGCTCCTGATTTCACAGCTGCTGACCCAGCAGGGATTTTGCAGAGGCACTTTCCCCGTTACCCTCCCTTGATTTTGTTTGCCTGCCCTGAAGCAGGATGTGGTGTTTGCCAACACTGAACCCGCCTCAGACTGCTTGGAAAGCGTTCAGCCCTCAGATGACAGGTGAGGTGGAACAGGATTCACGTGGCTGGGCTGTGCCCCTCTGCCAGAAGGCAAAGGCTGAGCCACCCCATGACCTGTAATGAGCCCTTTCTCCTTTCACATCTGCAGGGAAGATTTGCTCTTGTAGTTTTTGTGACCTAGAAGATGACCTCCTCCAGTCCCCTCTTTTCCCACAGCCCTGGGGAGCAGGAGCTCCTGCAGGTTTGTCCCAGTGGCAGCCAGGCCAGCAGGAAGCATCAGCTCAGTGTGTGCTGCTGGATCCCAGTCCTGTGACCCATCAGCTTGTGGGTTTTTCTTATTTTAACAACAATTTGGTGAGCATCAATCGATAGAAACAGTGGCAGGGAGATGGAGGAATTTGCCTTTTCATCTGTGCTTTGAGAATGCTTGGGAAAAAGGAAAGGAACAGGGGGTGTATGGAGCCACCTGGGCTGGGGGGTTCCATGTGGATCCCTGCCCTGCAGCTGCTGTCACAGGAGGCAAATCTCAGCGCTGAAATGCCAAGTATGCTGTCTGAGCATTGAACAGAGTGCAGCTGCAGCTGGAGGGACGAAAGGCACAGGTAGCATTTCCCAAGTTCCCAGAGCTTGTGCCTTACAGGCTTCCCTCCCTCAGCTGGAGAGTGCTCTGGGTCGTCTCCTGGCAGTTTGTAATGGCAGGGGAGTGCTGTGGTGTGTGTCCCTCCTGTTGTCTCCGGGCGTGCCTGATGGAAGCGCAGTCAGAGCAGGTTGGAGTCGCTGGAGGGTGAAGCTCCTTCCTTCCTTCCCAGCTGGAGGGATCTCTGTGCAGCTGTCTGCTCCAAAATAGCCTGATCCCTCAGAGCAGGCTCTGCTGCAGAGGAAGTTCCATGTGTGCCAGTGGTGATGAGGCAGAGATTTGTTCAAGCTTTTCTTGTTAGAGTCTGTAGAACTTCAAGGCTTCCTTTCTGGTGATGTTTGCGCAGAAATATCCACTTTTATCTCTGTGTGAATCAGTTCTGGCTCAGCAGAGGCTCTTCCAGGTGGAAGAAGACTCAAGGGAGAGTTGGGGGTGTAAGGTTTGACAGGTTAGTGTGGAATTGGGGGCTGGTTTTGGGGTAGTGTGTGGAAAACATCAGCACTTCCCCTTGTTCTTCTGGAAAACTCTCTGGGATGGAGATGTCTCACTCAGGTGTTCTTGTGGGCAGGAATTTATGATTTTCCTTTCCAGGTTGTTTTGGGTTTCTTCTCTGGGCAATAAATGTGTGTGTAGACCCTTGATATCATAATGGGTGTTTTTCTTCAGGGTCTGCCCCTTCACCGATCCTCAGGGCAGACTGAGGCTGGGCAGTGGGTGATATTCATGCTGGCATGAGGCAGCACGAGTATGACACAACCAGATAATCCTTTTCTTTCATTTCCCTGCCTGTGCAGAGGCACTCCATCACTACTTATGATACAGTGCAGAGTTTTCCACACCAGTTTGGCACTAGGGCAGTTTGCTGTGTCCCCCTTATGGTCTCAGACTAAAGTGGTGGGGCTGTTGTTTGATCTGGGACCACAAACTTCCTGGTGCCACTCTGGAAGTGATCTGAAATTGTGTTCTTGCCTGGAGGAGGAGTGAAAAGGGGTGTTCAGGCTGACACCTTGGGGGTCTGGAAGCAGGTCTGGAAGGAGACCTTTCCCTGTGTTCAGGGTGATGCTGAGTTGAATGCTAACGTGGGTGATATTCATGAATTCACTGGAGCTTGACACAGAGATTCCAGGAACATAATAGAGCATCATCACGAGCCCCTTGTCGTGTTCTGCAATGCCTGGAGCACAGTGGGGATGGACACCACCCCTGCTTCAGCTGGTCAGGCCTTGGACTTGTAGCTGTCCTTGCAGAGCAGTAAATCTGTGTGTGAGGAGGTGTTTCTGGGTGAGTGGGTGGCTTATCTAACCAGATCAAGGAAACCCGGTCCTGTCCCCAGAGAAGACTTGTGTGTGTGAGCTCTGTTCTCTGCTCAGGGTGTCCTGAATAACCTGCCAGCCCCTGGCCCTGGCCTGGAAAAGCCTTGTGGGGACACTGGGCATGCTGATTTCTGCTTCAGGCTGGGCGTGCAGGCTTGAGCAGCTTCACCCAAGGTGTTGCTGCCCTTGCTGGGTGTTCCAGCCCTTGCTGGGTGTTTCAGGAAGCTCTGGAGGTGTTCAGCCTCTCTTTTGCTCTTAGTGAGCTGACACTCTCCAAACGGCAGGCAGAGGGCAGCCCCACCGCTGGGATGTGCTGCTCACACCCTTGCAGTGAGGGATGTGCTCCCAGCACGGTTTGTGTGTCACAGCAGGTCTGGTGGCTGCTCTCCATGGACACACTGGGATTTCACCTGCTCTGATATCACCTGGAGACAAAGCAGCCATCAGGAAATGCTCCAGTGTGTGGTGGGAAGCTGGGGCTGTCCTTGGCCGTGGCTTTTCTCCAGCCTGCTGAAAATGTGGAGTATCTGGAGTCATGTCACACAGTGAAATACTGCTGCTGACAACAGCCACTGCTTGAATCCAGCTTTTCTTCAGCTGTTTCACCCTGTTACAGGGAGGTTTGAGAGGAGTGCAGCTTAGTTTGCAGGTCTGAATTTGTAGGTTACCCCATAAGTGCTGGGTTAGGGCTGTTGGTGGCTGAGGATGTGCCATATGATGGGGAGGATGATGAGCAGGAAAAGGGGGTGAGAGGCTCAGCTCTGCATGACTGCACCCCTCTGACTAAAACACCTCCTTGATCTGTCACATGTTTGGGTCTGGGTGTGCTGCACACCTGAGCTCTGAGAGATGGCTTTTCTCATAGGCATGTTTGAGATGATGCTTTGGAGGAATGTGCTCATTTTCCCCCCTGTTGCTTTCTAATTTCTTCATAAATTAATTGTCTGAATCTACAGTTCTACATTTCTACATGTTTTATTCACAGTGCTGGAGCAGGTAGCAGTTTCCTCTGAAAAACTGAGTCATGAACCCCCCCAAACCCTCTGATTGTCCTCATTCTTTCCCAATGTTTGTTCCCGCCTGCAAGCGTAGCTCCTGTGGGGATGGTGTTTGGAGGAGGAATTCCCGGTGCAAGTTAGGAAGTACTGGCCAAACTGAGTTGTTGAGGCTGGAAACCACTTTCTGCTTGTGCCTGGCATCTCCCTGATGGTGGCTTTTTGTTTCTGTTGTCAGTGGGTATGCGGCCGACGAAATCACACACTGCATTCGACCACAGGACATCAAGGAGAGGAGAGCTGTCATCATCCTCAGAAAGTAAGTGTTGAAGCCCTCCAGACAGCAAGATAAACGTGGATGTGGTGTCATGATGCTTAAACACTTGAAAACTTGCCTTGCTTGTTAATTTACTGGCTTGATCTTGCACCTTGATTAGGTGTCACTGATGCTCGCTCGTGTCGTGCCGTCCCTGGCAGTGGAAGTGGCTGGAACCTGTTCCTGCAGGGTTCATCACTTTTTGGCTCTGTGCAGCAGCACTTTGTTGTAATGTCTGGGCTTGCAAGCCCTGCTGGTGCCCAGATTGGCTTTCCTTTGGCTGCCCAGCTCCAAACACCCAGGGTATCAAACTGTCTTGTTTTGGGCTGTGTGTTCTGGTTTCTGGTCATGTGAGACCCATGTGTGTGAGTTACCTAGATGGTCTTTTGAAGCTGATGCTTGTGATGAGGAATGTCCTGTGAAGCAGAGAAAGTTTTTTTGCTATCATGGCTGTTGTTTCCTGGGGAGAGAGGGAGACACTGGCCTTGGAAGGAAACATGTGGAGAGTTCAGTGCTCATTACAGAGCTTGTCCTTCGAGTCTGTGTTGGGAAGCCAAGCTCCATAAGCTGTTTTAGAAAGGGGCTTCCTGTTCTAGAAAAGCACTCTTGATGGCATTTCATCAATCAATGCTTGTTCCTAAAGCTCTTAAGAAAATGAGAGACAAAGTGAACTAACCCCACCCCAAAGTTCCACATTAAAACCTTTTCTGCCTAGAAATGTCCTCTGTTACCAGTTCTTCTACTAGGAGACCAAAACATGTGACTGCCACACATTGACCCCTGCTGACTGTGCCTTGAAAGGTGTTGGCAGTAGTTCTGCTGTCAAGAAGCATCTTTGTAAATGAAAATACACACTTTGAATCCTGTAAACCCAGCCAAAATCGTGGGCATTGGTGGCAGGGCTGTGGTTGTGGCCCAGGCTGGCATAAGGCTCGCAGGCAAGTGGTCTGGATCCAGGCTGGATGAGCTTTTGGATGGCTTAGTTGATTTCAAAACAAGTCTGGCAACATTATGAGGATATGGCACAAAGCCAGTGGAGTGGAGTTGGACATCTGGTTAGAGAAACCCATGGAATGAAAGCAGGAAAAACAGCAGCCCTGAGGCATTTGCCAAGCAAAATCAGCCCAGACCCAGGGAGGCAGGACGAGATGTGGCAGGAGATAGAGTGAGATGAAAGGCAGGCTGCAGCCAAACCACCCCACAGCTGGATATGGCCCCGTGAGGTGTGGGGTGAGAGGCTCTGATAAGAACTTAGAGCTGTTGTGTTCGTGGTGTTGGAGCAACCAGGGAAAAGCAGCATCAGTGCTGACAAGGAGGCATCTCCAAGCCTTGGAGCTGCTTTGGTTGGACTTTGGGAAAGAGAAGCTGCCTGTCCTAGGTTGTGGAGCAGTTTTGTGGAAAAGACAGACTCAGATAAATACGCTAAAGCTGCCCAAACTGGTGCAGATGTCCAGTGTACCTGTTTAAACTGGCTCTGCCTCTTGCTTTCTCCAGCCTTGGTGAGCTGAGGGTGTTGGATTGTTTCAGTCAAGCCTGGCTGCCCTCAAAGTCCATCAGGGCAAGAAGGGACCTTAAACATCACCTCATTTCAGCCCCTGCCATGGGCAAGGACACCTTCCACTGGATAAGGTTGCTCAGAGCCTTGTCCAACCTGTGCTTCTCTGGGCAACCTGTGCCAGTGCTTCACTGCTCTCTGAGCAAAGGATTTCTTTCTAATATCCAATCTAAATCTTCCCTCTTTTAGTTTAACACTGGTCCCTCTTGTCTTATGCCCATCTCCCAATGTAAAAAGTTGTTTTCTGTGTTTTTTATAAGCCCCCCTTTAAGTCCTGGGAGGAGCAGTGAGGTGTCCCCAGTTGTACCCAGCTGAGCTGAAGGGACAGAGCCTGCAGCTCTGCTGGCTTTGTTTGCCCATCCACCCTGATTTTTGGGGCCTGATTTGCTTCATGTCAGAGCAGAAGTGTCTCTGCCCATCAGACAGTGAGGGGCTAACCCGACAGACAAACCAGCTGAAACCACACCAGGATTTTTCACTTGAGCAAAGCACAAACCCCCTGGGAATTATTCCTGCGTAGCCTCCGCAGCTGTGGTGAATCCGTGGTGATGTTTGCCAAAGGCTGGGCTGTGATTGCTGCCAATTAGAGCTTATTAATTGCTGCTTATCCCCTGGCCAGGGCAGCCACCTCTCCATGTCCCCTGTGTGTCCCCTGTGTGTGCAGTGTGCCCTTTGCTGTGCCAGGGTCGCTGCACCAGCGCTGTTCCCGCTCTGCGGCTGTGCCTGGAACAGGCTGTTGTGCAACCAGGAAAGCACCTCCTTCCCCTGCTGGCCTCCTCATAAAACTCCTCTTCCTCTTCTTGGTGGTGAGGATCAGCCCTGAGCTTTCAGATCAGATCAGCTGGATCATCCCAGTTGGAGCTGGGATGTTCAGCTCTGAGTTCTGCCGGAGCCTGCTGCGTCCCAGTGAGTCTGGCTCTGCTCTGAGCATGTTCTCTCTGACAGCAGCAGGAGAGCAGAGCTGTGGGAGCTGCAGGAGCAGTGGGGTTCTGCAGGATCCTCCAGAGCTGTGTGGTTACCAAGCAGGTCATAAACACTTCAGTGCTCCTTGTTTCCTGTGTTGGATCACAGGGCTGCCGGGAGCCAGCAGGGTTTAGAAGCGCTTTGAGCCAGAGGAGGGGAGGAATGGTTCTCTCAATTTATGAGATGTTGGGAGAGGTAACGTGGGAGGTGGGTGTAGAAATGAGACCTACTCAACCGGGTCTTGAAAGCAATTTTAGAGGCTTTTGCTGCCATTCTGCTTTGATTCTCATAAGCAGAGTTTCTTTATTTGTAGGTGTTTTGTTCTCCATTTTAGTGTCACCTCTCCTTGCACCTGGCCAGAGGGAGCAGGGGTGCTGTTCCTTTGCCCTTGCAGTGTATTGGGGGTTGGTTTGTTAGAATTGCAGCCATGTGGTTGCTGTTGTATTTGACAGGTATTTAAACAACCTCCCTTGTCATGAGCAAGATCTGCAGGGCCTTTGGTGTTGAGGCTGGACTGGGTCCAGCCCTGAAGCTCAGAACAGCTCAGGATGACAGCGTGGAGTAGCACAGGCTCCAACCTGGCAGCTGCCTGTGGAAGTGTTCCTCGTTTCTGGCACACTGGGCAAACTCAGGCTGCCATGCCCAGCTTTGCCTGTGCCAGACTGGCGTCACCCTGATGAGCTGAAGAGGCTCTCCCTTGGCAAGTGGATGTGCTTCCTAATGGAGGTTTAGATTGGGATTCTCCTGTGGAAACCTCCCTCAGGAGCTGGAGTTCAGCACTGGAGAGCAAGTGGTGATTCTCCCCCTTCATTTTTGCTGCCTCCTCCACCTGTGCATGCCTTCAGTTCTCTTTTGGGATGATCTCTGCTTTCTCTCCAGCACAGCTTGAGTGTGTGCAGAGCTGCTGGAAGGGATGTGTGGTGCAGCTTCTGCTTGCTACACCTTCTCCTGACTCGTACTTCAACTCTTTGCACTTTGTAGTCAAGCTGAGGAACACCTGACCCCGGGAGATCCGTGGGCAGGAGGGAGTTTCCAGGTGGAAGCAGTTATTACTGTTGCAGGTGATGATGCTTTTGCAGGGCATCTCCCAGCCAGGTGGCTTAACTGGAGCTGTGAGTTATTGCCAGGTGATTTCATGGGATTTCACAGCTGCTCCAGCAGCTCTGCTCCTTCTCCCAGAGCTGGGGTTGCAGTGAGCCCAGCACCTTTTGCCTTCACCTCATGACTGTGTGTCCCTAAGCCAAGGCAGGATAAAGGGCAATGGCTTCAAACTGATAGAAAGTGTTTAAATTAGGTATAAGGAAAAAATCCTTTCCTGTGAGGGTGCTGAGGCCCTGGCACAGGTTGTCCAGAGAAGTTGTGGTTGCTCCATCCTTCAAAGTGTCCAAGGCCAAGGTGGACAAAGCTTGGAGCAGTCTGGTCTAGTGAAAGATGTTCCTGCCTGTGGCAGGGCGTTGGAAATGAGATGATCTTCAAGGTCCCTTCCAACTTTAAACCATTTTGTGATTCTGTGAAGCTTCTGTGAAGTACCCCAAAACTGCAGCTTGTTGTGCTGTGGAATGGGGTATTCCTGCTCCTCCTCCTGAGCTGTGTGGTTGGGGTGGAGGGCTCTGCTGTGATCCTGTAGAAACTCCTTGCAAATTCTCTTCTCTTTCAATATTTGCAGAACAAGACTAGATGCACCTCGATTGGAAACAAAATCCCTGAGTAGCTCTGTGTTGCCACCAGGTTATAACTCTGACCGCCTGTCGGGAAACAACCGGGACCAGATCCTCAAACCAAAGCGGTCCCATCGCAAAGCAGACCCTGATGCTGCCCACAGGTAGGATCACCTCTCCTAAGAGCCACGTTTGCGATGTTGTCTTTGGATCCGTGCATAGCTGAGGTCTCTGGCCTCAGAACATATTTAAAACCATTCTGATTTGCACCTGCCAGGTGCTTTCTGCAATGCCCAGATCTGTTTTATCAGAATGAGCTCTTTATGCGTTCCTCCCAGACTTGTGGAGGCTGAGCTCTGGCTGTAAGCAGCTTACATTGTTTATCCTGTGAGTGGCATAATGAAGAAGCAATAGATTTGGCTGGCTTTTGATAATGCAGTCGTTCAGAACAATAGTTTCCCTGCAGCTAATCATTTTTGACCTCTATTGCCAAGCAACCTGTGCAGCTGCGTTAAACTATATTAGGAAAGCAGTCCTGGGAGGGAACGTGAGGGTTTGCTATCTGGGAAAGGTTAAGGACTTCTTGGGAAGCTTCTCAGGCCTGTTTTGATTCCAGAGCTCTGTGTGTGCATTTTTGTGTGAGAAACCAGAATTGTGGATGTTTAAGCCTGACCTTGAGGGAAGCTCCTTGCTGAGGTTTCAGACAAGCTTGAGCTCTGCAGCAAGGCTTCCCTCAAACACCTTGGTGTGAGCACAGTGATGGCTGTGAGTGATGGCCAGTCTGCCAGCTGTCCTGCATATTCCAATTCCAAAGCTTCCTGAGGATCCAGATGGCACTCTCTGCACAATGGGTACAACCCAAAAGTTGACTTGGTCGCAGGGCTTGGCTGCCACGCAGTCCCAGCCCTGTTTGAACCTGTCCTAGAGGGAGGAGGGTGGGGATGGATTGTTTGTGAGCAGTGTTCATTCACCTGGATGCAGGCTGGAGGATGGAGGAAGGTCTGAGCTGGGCTGCAGATGCAGCTTCCCCGGGTGTCCGATTAGAGGAGCGATCATGCGGGACAAATGTGCACATCCCTCTGAGCTGTTTTTCAGCCTGGTGTGACCTTATCAGGCTGTGGGGGATGGCTTGCCCAGGCTCCTGCAGCAGATGGGTGTGAAAAACATGTTTTTCTCTTTCTCTGGCCTCAGAGGCTCCAGTATAACAGGTAATTCTCATGGATATCATAGTGGGATCTCTCAGGAACCACTCAGATAAAGTGAGTGGTGTGTGCTGCCCACCTGCTAGAAAGTGATCAGAGGCAGCTCTGCAGAAATAACAATTGCACTGTGCTAATATTTGAGAGGACGAAGGATTTTGGAGCTGTGGTGTGATCCTGCACCATAAGGAGCTCAGCTCTGTGCTCTAAATTCTGCTGCAGTAGAGACAGACCCTCTGCCCAAGGGATTTTTCTTGGGGCCACAAGCTGCAAGTTAAAGAGGTTGACTGGAAGTGTTCTGGTGGAGGTAAAGGCCAGAGCCTTGGGAAGGGAAAGAACTGGCCCATCATAGCCAAGTTCTCAGCTCCTCTGGGGAGGTGGAACTTGGTGATTTGTTCTTTCTCTGCCAAGTGCCCAGTGCTGGGAAAGCAGTGGGAAAACAGGCAGAGCTGTCAGGGCAGGTAACTGCAGAGAGCATCCAGGAGGAACGCCTGGATCCCGTTGTGCTGTGCTCTCACTCCTGTTTCCCCCCTCTCCCCAGGCCACGGATTCTAGAAATGGATAAGGAGGAGAACAGGCGTTCAGTCCTCTTACCAAAACATAGGAGACGGAGCAACTTCAGCTCTGAGAACTATTGGCGACGGTCGTACGAGTACACGGAGGACTGTGAGGATGAGGAGGAGGACGGCAGCCCCGCCAGGAAGGTTAAAATGAGGCGACACTGAGGATTGCACTTGCCAGGCTCGTGGAGCTGATGAGATTGGCCTCCAGTCTGTGAAAACTTTCTCCTCCCTCTGGCTATCTTCCATCTAGCTTCAGTTTTGGTTTTTCCTTTCAGGCTGAAGAGTAAACAGGAAGGATTTGGTTTTATGAATGGAGGAATGCTGAGACATACGTGAGGATGGAACATGTCCAGTGCACATGGTGTCCTGAGTCGTGGCTCAAGTGGGCATCTCTCTCTTAGGAAGCAGATAAAGTTATGCCAGGTTGTCTCTTGGGATTTCTTTTGAAAACACCAAAAAGTTTAACTCTTTCATTGCGCAAGATTCAAGAATTGTATTTTTGTTTTGATTTTTGGGGTTTTTTTGTTTTGTTTTGTTTTTTGTTTTTCTTTTTTTTTTTTTTTTGCTTTAACACTTTTCCTTTCCAAATGTTCTAAATATGATGTTTGACCCCAGGAGCTGAAATTCCATGGTATTCTGGTATTCCTTGTTTCACCAAAGGGCTCCTTGGTCTTTTTTTACCTGGTGGTTGTCGGGTCTGTTTTAAGGGTGCCCTGCAGTAACTGGAAGTTTGAGGCTTTGCAGACCCCTCTTGCTGTGATCGATTTCAAAGGGTTTAGGACATTTTTGTTGCACTTTAGTGTTTTAAATGCCGTAGGTTTCCTTTCCAGACCCTTTTCCCAAGCCAGCATGGGCTCGCAGCCCTGTGTCCCTGCGCTGCCCTCTCCAAGAAGAATGTACAAGAGCTCTGGTTTCTCAGTGCTGGTCTGGAGGAGGGAAAGGTGGCCCAGCCTTGTCCTGAGATCCATATTGGAATCTCAGGGCTGCCAAGGGAGGGATCACACTGAGCACGTGCTGCTTCCCAGAGCTGGGGATAGCAAAGAGGAGTAGGAGACGCTGTGCTTGTGAGGGTTTGTGCCTTGGGACCCCCCAGAAGAGCCCCTCTCCACTGCCCCTTCCAGGTGGGGAGAGCTGAGTCGGTGCAGCATTCCCAGCACGGTGTCCCATCCTGATGGAGCAGGAGCAGGAGCTGCTGTGGCCCTGGGGGAGCTGAGCAGCTCTGTCCCCTCCGAGGCTGGCTCTGGGAGCAGGGACACTGCAGGGCTCCAGGTTGGCCCCAGTTCAGTGCATCCAGCACTGAGGTTGCCTGTTTTCTCCTGGCTTATTCCTGCCTGTGTTCCTGGGGTAGGGAGTTTTCTGGTTGCTACAGGAAATGCTGAGAAGAATCAGGCATTCAGCCCCGTGGAGTTGTGATAGGGCATCTGCCATCATCATCATCATCATCCTCTTCTCCCACCTGGTTTGTGTTAGCCCAGACCAAAGCCTTGGTGTTTGCAAAGTTTGGGGCCCAATGCCATATTTAGAGCTGTACTTTCAAGGAAAACTTCCTCCAGTTGATTCTTTGAACCCAAGTGTTGGCAGTTGTAAGGAGTAGTCTTATTTTTAAATTTTTACTGCTTTGCCCTCCCTCCAACTGTAGTTTTTCTTAGTGTCGTGTCCCCCACACACTTCATGGTCTGCACGCTTGGCAATAAAAAGATGTAATATATTTTGAAACTTGTTTGCTGCTGTCTTGAGGGGCTCCTGGTCTAAAACAACCACCCCAGGCGTTGTTCCCTGCAGTGCTGGTTGAGGACATTTGTGACATCTGGGTCCCACTGTCCTTTTCCTTCCCTGCTGAGTTTCACCTGGTGTTGGGGTTCTGCTCAGGCTGGATCTTGTCACACGAGCTCAGAGGACGTTGCCATCACCTTCAGCTGGCTGTGGGGGTGTTGGTGAGGTCCCCAGTGCCTGGTTTGCCTGGTGAGAGCCCCCACTGGCTCTGTGCTGAGGCACAGCCTCTGAAGGAATGTGGCTTGTCAATCCAGAGACCCAAAAGTTTGTGCTTCTGCCGCTTGTGAAACTTTGGAAATGCCGTTTTCAGACCTCACGTAGCATTTGAAGCAATGTTCCTCACCCCACCAGCTTTCTGCTGCAAATCCAGGCCAGCTCTTGGCTACAAACCCCCTGTTCTGGGCAGCTTGGCATCCCCCTGACAGCAAAACTGCACGCAGGGAGCACAGATCCCTTCTCCTCCTGGTGGCTTTGTGTTTCTGGATCCATCCTGACCATGCCCTGTTCCTGTCACGGTGCCAGGCTCTGCTGTGGGTGCAGATGGGGACAGAGGTCACTGCCAGGGGTCTCAGCTCTGCCCTCTCCCCTCCTGGCTCCCAGTTTTATCCCTCCCTCTCCAATATGGATATTCTACCCTGGTGTCAGCTCAGAATGAAGCTGGAGCAGCTGGCCTTTCAGAGCAGGACTTCCATGGGATGAGGAGCTGGCTGTGGAAATGCTGAGCTCTTACACCTCCAGCCTGGTCCCAGCCACCACCTCATCCTGGTCCTTGTGCAGGCTGAACACGTGCAAGATTCCTTCCCCAGCTTGTGTTGGTATTCCTGCATGTCCTGCTCGGGAGCTTCCCCCTTTTCCTTGTCCCCATCCGTGCAGTGGGTCAGAGCTGGCAGCTGTGGCTGGGGGGACAGGAGCAGCTCCTCTCCAGCCACCATCTGCTCTTGGTTTTTAACCTGGCTGGTTGGGGCTTGACACCTTGGAGAGAGAGAGAGGGAGCAGGATCCCTCAGGAGAGGAGTCCCCAGCGTGCAGGCAGGGCCATCTCCCCACTTGTACAGACATTTTCTATAGACACGGATGTATATGTGTAGATAACATGGTTTTTTAACTCTTTTGCACTGAACAACATCAGAGTGAAACCTGTATTCGAAACTAGAAGGCATTTTTCACACGGATCCAGAGGTCTGGATCCTTCCTGTAACCTGTCTGGTTGGAACTGTGGCTCGGAATTCCTGCTTTTCACTGCTGGGCTGCACACAGGCATCAGGCCAGGCTGGGGGTGAGCTCAGATTTGGAGGCAAAACTTCTCCCCAGGCTCCTGCAGAGCCCTGACCGCGTTGGTTTGTGTGTGTCTGATCTGGCTGTGTGTGGTCCAACCTCTCCATCCACCCACAGCGTGTCTGTGCTCAGCCCCGCACTGGGAGCTCCATCCAGTGGGACAGCCCCTGTGCCCAGAGCCCAGAACTGTCTTTCCTAAGGAAGGGAGAGGAAGGTGGGGTTCATCCCTGCTTTGGTGGGGTTCATCCCTGCTTTTCCACCAAGAACAGGAGGGAATTGGGGTTTGTTGCTGTTACCGTATCTCGAGAAGGTTCAGCGGTGGAATTATCCAAGCCCATGGATCAAAACAGCACCAGGACTCACGGGGGGCCAGGGTCTAGACCCCCACCAGCAGCAAAGAGTCTTTTACCTGCCAAAAGTGTTCCCTTTTCCTTGTTGGGAGGAGAAACATTCGATTGAGAAATGTCTCTGCTCCTTTCCCTGCCCACACTTAGAAGTTCTGGCTGACTTTAATTTTTGTTTTTTAAAAGATTCTAATTTTTTTTTGTTACCAATAAAAAATAAAAATTAAAAAAAATAATAATAAAAAAGAAAGTGGCAATATTTTTTTCTGTAAGCTTTTCCTAGGAAAAAGCATGGTTTGTAACAAAGTTGTACAGTTCTGAAGTTTGAGATACGAGAAGTACTGTGTGAAACGCTGTAAATGGAGCAGAGATTATTTTATGTACAGTCTGACGTGGGGGAATCTTTTAATTCCAGTTGATTCTTAGGAAGAATTTGGTTCTTCACTGTCAGGGTTTGGAATTTCATGGTTTCATTATTATTTTTTTTTCTTGTATAGATTGCTGCATTAATTGAATAAAAGCAGAAAGCATCTCTTGGCCTGGCTGTGTGGTACTGGGGGCTGGGATGTGCCTCGATTCCCCCTGGCAGGAATGAGAAGTGGTTTGGGAGCAGGGAACTGGTTCTAAATAAAGGGAGTCATCATCTCCCTGGGGACAGGGCGGCCAAACTTGGTGGCTGTGCTTCCTGTGCTGTCCTAGAAAGCAGGGACAGAGATCTCTGCTTTCCTCCAGCACCCTGGGCTTCGGCCTCGTCTGAGCTCCTCTTCCTCCTGGTGTTTCCCTCCTGCAAGAGGGAGATGATGGGGTGGGTGTGAGGTGCCAGAGGGGGGCATAGATGGGATCTCCTGGTCTGTGGTATTGCTTCTCCTCTCCTTTCTTCTTCCTTTCTTTCCTCCTCTCCCTCTCCTTCTCCCTTCTCCCTCCCATCCTCATCCTCCTCTCCATCTCTCCTCTCTCTTCTTCCTCTTCCTCTTCTCCATGCTCCTTCCCTCTCTTCTTCACACCTCCTTACCTCTTATCCCCTTCCTCCGCCTCTCCTCTTGCTCTCCTCCCCTTTTCACTACTCCCTTCATTCTCCTTCCTCCTCCGAGTTCCTCCTTTTCTCTCTCCTCAGAGCAGACCCACCCTGCCCATCCTTATGCCCCGGGGCAGTGCCGGTGCTCCAGGCCCCTCCATCCATCCCCCCGTGACCCTCAGCCCATCACCGGGCCGTGCTCCCCGCTGGCCCCGGGCTGTTTTCCGCCCCAGCCCCCGCGTCAGCCCCGAGCCGATCCCCCCGGGCCGGGTTAGTCAGCAGGGAGGGGAAGCCGTGCCCTGCCCGGGCTGACTCACCCCAAAACCGGGCGCAGGGCAGGCTGCTCCCCCTCCCACCTTGCCGTGATGCCGTGGGGGGAATGGGGAACATTCCCGGTGCCCTGGCGGGGAGAATGAGTGGCCAGCCGGGAATGAGGCTCGGATGGTGATTGTGGGAGCGGGCAGGATGCTGCGGGCCTGGGAGCCGGGCCGCCGCCATGTTGATGCACCCCATGGCTGTGGGGCACACCATGAGACCCTAAATCTACAACACCCCGTGTTTGTGGGGGGCTGTGACCACGGTGACCAGGCTTGGGGCATGCTCACCGTCTCTCACTATGCCCACGGGGAAGAAAAAAACCGAAAGAAGAGTATTTTAAAAACAATATAAATAAACCCAGCGCAGAGGGCGTTGAGTTGGACGACTACACGTCCCATCGGCCGCCGCGGCGGCGCAGGCGCAGCGCGGGTGGGCGGGGCCGCGGCGCGCGGCGCGCGTTGCCGCGCGGTGATTGGCGGGCGGAGCTGTCCGTCAGGGTTCCGCCCCGCCCCCGCCGCGGCGGTGCCTGCCCGGGCTCGGCGGGCGCGCGCACCGGGACCCCGCACCGGCACCGGGGACCCCGCACGGGCACCGCGCCCCCTGCCGGCCCCGCCCCGCGCCGCGCCCCGGCCCCGCCACCGCCACCGCCGCGCCGGGACCGGCCCCGGGACCGCCGGCCGCGCCCGCCCCGCCCGGTACCGCGCCGCCGCCACCGCCGCCGCCGCCGGCCCAACCATGATGAAGTTTCGGTTCCGGCGGCAGGGTGCCGACCCGCACCGCGACCGCCTCCGCCACGACCTCT